CACAAGCAGGATGTAGGAACAAAGAACCTCCGGTAAGCTCTCCGATGATCCTAAGCCGAGAAGGACACCGACAGGGAATCTGAATAGGAAGGACACCTGGTCAGGCAAGCAAGGCAGCAGCCACTCACAGTCGGGGGTCAGGGCCCATGGCGCCCACAGTTCCCCATGCCTGTATGTCAATTGCAGGGCACAAGCGTGGCTGTGGGCCTGATGCCATCTGGTGCAGTCCTACAGCATGGGGGATTTGCCCAGAGTTCTCCCTGTGCACGGGCTTCTGGGGAGGAAAGGATTTGTTTTTGGTTCATTGCAGAGGTGGAAACTTGGAACAAGGTATGCAAAAAACACGCAGCACCCTATTTTTAATGTGACATTCTATGTTCCCAATTCTGCCTAGTTTCAGACTAAGTGCGCTAGAATTCAATTATAAATGATGAGAATTTTGAGCATTGTGAATGGTTAAGCCATTTAAGGATAGTGGGAAATGTCCTCCCCCCTCCCCTGCAAGTCATGATTTAGAGACTTTTAGAATTCTAGTTATACTAATGCAGAATGTAAAGTATCTGCAGAGTTCTATACTTTCAAAATAACTTGCAGATAGCCTGTCCTATTTGTACTTATCTAAGCAAAGTCTGCAATTAAAGCTCTAAGATCTTTAGAATTAGTCAGGTATCTGTATTGCATATAAGGGCAAGTTAAGTGGTAGGTGTACTACTGGGTTTTTGTTTGTTTTGTTTTTTGCTTGAATCAGTTATACAAATTCTTCAAATATTCAATTGTTATTTTGTTTCCATAAATAAATAAGGTCTCAGATTAAAAGCTAGTCTAGTTGTCTGAGTAGTGAGCATTTTACCAAATAAGAAGCTGGGAAATGAGAAAGGCACCCTATGTTTGGAAAGAAATCATAATGCGACAAACAAGGAAAAAGCTCCTCCTGGATCAAGCTAAAAATCCCTCCTGTGATCTGCAACAGCAGATTCTTGGGTGAAGGGCCCTGCTCACTTCTCCTGCCTTTGGCCTGTCTCACAAATCCAGAATAAGCAGATGGGCCCAAGTGAATAAGCTCTACACTCAACACTCAACCTTTGCTTTGTTGGCATTAATGTTCCAAAGTTACTGGAATTTATTGCATAGGTCCAGGCTCTTTAGACAAAATTGTTTTACTATAGGAAGAAATCTTACTCTCAGTTGAGAATCAGGATGGATTGTTGTTTCAATGAAGTAGGAAGTTACTAAGCAGGGACTTGAACCAATTAGGGGTCTTGTGGTTTCTCATGTCACCATTACGAGGCAGTGATGTTTTTTCCAGGTTCTGATAAGGTCTCCATGGCTCCCCACAAGGAGAAGGAAGCCAGGAGGAATAGCAGAACATGACAGTCTGAATCCACATCTTTCTAAAGAGCTTATCAGAAACACAGGCTAAAACTATGTCAGTGGCCACTGTCCTCTGTAGGGTTCTTTAATGATATAGTTGTTGCCTTTAACTAAAATCTGAACTCTCTAGATAAGAACAATGGGGGTGGATCTTGGGTGGACAACCAGAAGTCTATGCCCTGGTTACAAAGTACAGTTGTGCAGAAGCATAGTGTTCAAGAAAGGTGAAACTTATGGTTTCCTCCCTCCCATCTTGTGTGGGGTGAGAACGCACCACCAGGTGATATGGCTGCACAGAATGAAGATGTCTCCTTAGTTCTCAGGCAATGTTCATCAGATCTGGCTTCTCTCTGGGCAGCTAACTTCCCCTGCACCAGGAGTTTCTAATCAAGTATCCTGAAAGCCTGCACATTTGTGTTTGTGCGTGTAGTGGGGTCTTCACGATCTCCTCGTGGAGCTTTGGTGTGGGATCAAAACGGGTTGGTTTTTTTTTTTTTTTTTTTTTTTTTTTTTCTCCTTTTTAATCTGCTCCATCATTTTCATGTTC